AGACAAACCACGGGTCGGCTAAGTTTCCCGACCCGCGCGAGCGCGGGTCGGATCAATCCGACCCGCGCGAGCGCGGGTCGGATTGTCCTGTTGCGCAGTCTAAAGTTCCAAAACACGTTTTGACAGTTTTAAATTGGTTTTTTGCAGGGTTTATCGGTTTCAGGGGTTCTTAACTGACTTGAGATCATCCCTAAACGTTGTTAGGCTGCTGTTGACTGAAGATAGAGCCAAATCCCTTGTTCTTATCCAAATAACCGCATTTTGAGGCCTATAAATATGAACCAAAGGCCTCCATTTTCTGGGGCGATTGATTATCAAGACGAGGAGGTGCTGCCGGATTGTGGAGTCAAAGGAGCACGAATTTCTGCGGGGGTTGACAGATCTTGGCGGGTTCTTCGGCATAAAGAAGGAGAGTTCGAGAGATCCGACGCCCGTTCCCGTCCGTCCCTTGAGATTAGGCTTGGTCTTAATCTCGAGAAGAGCCCTGATTTCGCTTGGTCGATTTCAGCGCTTCAAATCAAATACTTTCTCGGCGAAGACGAAACTCTGCCGAATTTTCCATCAATCAGATCCAGATCTAAGGCGGTCCACGGATAAACCCCGACACAGGCAAAGATCCCACGCAAAGCAGCGGGTGATAAACGTCCTCTGCGTTTGTTTTGACGAGAGTTGTAAACTTTTGTTTTCATTGTGTAAAAGTCTTATAAAAAGACAATTTTTTTTTTCATTGTAACGATCGAAGTTGTAATGAATACCGCAATGAATACAACAATTTTCGACGCAAACAGACACCTCTTGTGTCGACTCGAAAGATGGTCGATGACACGAGACCCAAGACAAGACCCCTCTATGTTGACTCGAGAGGCGGTGATAGCTGACTCGAAGTCTGAGGCGAGGTCCGAGATAAGACCCGAGATGAGAACCAAGACGAGATCCCCTCCATGTTGACTCGAGAGGCGGTGATAGCCGATCCGATTCACAGTCCGAGACACGGTCCAAAACGAGACCCGAGACGAGATCACTTCGTGTCGACTCGAGAGGCGGTGATAGTCAACTCGAATTACGAGATGAGACCTGAGACGAAACCTGAAACGAGATCCCTTCGTGTCAACTCGAGAGGTAGTGATAGTCGACTCAAAGTTCGAGACGAGACCCGAGATGAGATCTCTTCGTGTCGACTCGAGAGGCAGTGATAGTCGACTCGAAGTTCGAGACAAGACCCAAGACGAGACCTAAGAAGAGAGCCCTCCATGTTGACTCGAAGGCAGTGATAGTCGACTCGAAGTCCAAGACGAGACCCGAGACGAGATCCCTCCATGTTGACTCAAAAAACGTTGGTAGTCGACTCGAAGTCCAAGATAAGACCCAAGACAAGACCCCTCCATATTGACTCGAAAGGTGTTGGTAGTCGACTCAAAGTCCAAGACGAGACCTGAGATGAGACCCCTCCATGTTGACTCGAAAGGCGTTGGTAGTCGACTCGAAGCCCAAGACGAGATCCGAGAAGGGATCCCCTTCCTATCGACTCGAGAGGCAGTGATAGTCGACTCGAAGTCTGAGACGAGACCCGAGACGAGATCCTCTTCGTGTCGACTCAAGAGGCGGTGTCAATCGACACACCTTGAGTCGACTCGAAAGTTTCCCATCTCATCACACGACTCCCACTGAGCTAAAGTGAAGTTTCAACGCTCTTTGCAACACTCTGACAAAAGAGATTACAAGTCAATAAATCTCTTCAATACAAAAATACATTACACAAAGTTCGAGACACAGAACATGTCTTAGAAGCTATGAAGAAACTCATAGTTTCTGAGACAATGTTCACTGTCTCGTATGAGTGTGCACAAACCAGAAGGTAAACTGAATGAAATCCCATTTTTTTATTCAGACCTACTTCTTTTTAATTGGAAAAAAAATCTTCATTATGAGTTAGCATGTGGTTGATTATAATTGTCAAGGCTTTATATGTATTTTTGGACTTATGAGGTGGTTGCCTGTAAATTTTAAAATTTAAAGGGGTTCTTTATAATTTTTGGTTTTTGCATAGCTTGTAATTTTTGAATTTTTATGGTTTGCTTCCATTTTTAAACTTTTTAGAGGTCATTTTTGTAATTTTAGATTTTTAAGGGGTTGTTTGAAATATTTTCAAGGGCTTTTTGTAACTTTTGGATTTCTTGAGGTTTGTCCATAATTTCTAAAATTTAAAAGGAGTAATTTATAGTATTTAGATTCTTCAGTGGATTGTCTGTAGAGTGTAGATTCATATTTTTGATAGGGTTATAAGTAATTTCTGCGGCTTCACAAAATCTCACATTCATGAATGCAAGCCGCCTCCGACGAAGGCATGCCGAAACAAGTTAGAGACATTATTATTTAGCTTTGAGAACTCCATTGGTTATCTATTAGAAACTGAGAAGTTGCATCGATAAAACCTACAAAGCATTCGCTCAGTTCATTAATTAAGTGGATTTTGAGCTTTTCTTTTTCTGACAAATAAAGTGGAATAGGACACTAGGTTTTGAAAATTGAGCTTCTAATAGATTCTAGCCCTTGAGTTTTAGAATTTTGCTAATATTTTTAAACACTTAATATGAGAACATGAAGGTAATTTAATCCTAAAAGCTGCTAAAATTTTAACATAGCTTAGGAGAGAGGGTAAAGTTGAGGAAAACAAACAATTTGAATAGTAATTTAGAATTGTAATGATTTGAAGGGTCAAAGTTTAAAAACACTACAATTCGAGGGGTACATATAAAAAACCTTTAAAAATATGAGGGTCACAATAATTTTTTGGATGTAGGGTTAATAGTAAATTATGAAAATTATGATTGTTATTTTTTTATTATGAATAATATGATTGGTTAGGATTACTAAATATTTGACTATAATTACTACTTTGTAATTATAAATAGATTTAATTTAATGAGTATTCATAGTTGAATATAGAATCAGGTGCCCGCTTGTTGTTTTCTAATATGACACATGAGAGTTTTCTTTGACCTTAGGGGTAGCCAATTTATCATTATACATGAAGGAGGAATTAACGATATATTAGTATACTATAATATAATATTAATAATAATGTTATATTATATAATATGTAAAATAACATATTTTAACCCGCATGGTTGGCGCAGCGATATCTGCTACACTCATGTTGGGAGACAATCCATAGAGGACTAGTTCTGTGTTCGAATCCCCTAACAGGTAAAAAATCCTTGGGTGAGTACCAGCCACGAAGCATGAGAGGGGATTAGTGGGACAAATTTTCAAAACCACCCATTTTTTGATTTTATTTGTAAAAAACGATCCCATTTGAAAATAATTACAGAAACCGATCTGTTTTCAGCCTAGCACTGAAAACAGGTCGGTTTTTGTAAAAAATTCTCCGAAACATCATGGGAGTTCAACTCCCGTGAAGTTTATGGAGAAATTAAACTTCACGGGAGTTGAACTCCCGTGAAGCTTAATTTGTGCTTAAAACTCCACGGGAGTTCAACTCCCGTGGAGTTACAGTTAAACATTCCCAGAGAACCGATTTCGGTTCTCTGGGAAATTGGGACTGCAACTTCACGGGAGTTGAACTCCCGTGAAGTTGCAGGTCATAGAATGCACAGCCTGCTGTGCATGTTAACTCATATATATGTACATGTTAACTCATATATGCCAATTTATTTGCAAACAACAATATATACATGATTCAACAATGAATTATAACTCATATATATGCCAAATTATTTGCAAACAACAATATATACATGATTCAACCATAAACACAAATGATTATGTATATGAACAATAATTTACCTTCAAAAGTTTAGTATTTAAAAATTCAGGAAAGTTACAAAATTATCAAAATAAGTTCATATACAACCCAATATAGCTCCCCTCCTTCCTCTCCTTCTCTTCCCCCTCCCCCTCGCTCTTCCCCGCCCCCTGGGTTCCTCGACGTCGAGCGTACGCCCGTCCAAATGAGCGAGACCTGTCCTCACGGCCTGCGAACTCGTCGACGTGAGTCTTATGGAACACCTGCGCTATGCTCTTCTTGATCCTGCTGAGGAGACCTAACGCCACCTGATCCTGAATCTCAGTCACGTGCGCATCAATATCAGCATCAATGCTATCTAAAACACGGACCTGCGTGGTAAACAATTTATTAAGTATCAACTCAATAAAAAATATTATAATTTAGCTTAGAAACTTACGTAATCTCTCTCGTTCATCCCACTAGGGATGTAACTATCTGTCGGTGGGCGTGGCATGTGTCCAGCTAAGGGCTGTGGGTCACGCGTGATCCATCTACGTGTGATACCCTAATACCAACGCATATACGCGGTATAGTCAACAGCTGTGGGCCTCGTATCCTGTATGCAATCCCACCTGTCTATGTAGGTCGCACGGACTACGGTCCAGTCAGTCCGGTGCGATGTAGGGCGTCGCCGACGATTGATCTGCTCGACAGGATCTGGAATATGCTGAGAGAGTGTAAACTGCCATAGCACACGGTCCGGTACATGCATCTCTACGATCTCCCAACAGATCAATGGAACTCTGGCTCTCCACAAGCCGGGACTATCTCGGCAGATAGGTGCAAGAGAATATATATCGAGCTCTGGCGGTGTATAGGGTCTCCACTTGAACTGAAATAAAATAAAACATTTATCAGTATCATACAAAAAAACTATAATATTCATACTTCTTGAGTTTTATATTTACATGTTCGTGCTGGAGGCCATCAAGCTCATTTCGGTAAAACTGATGGTGACGCGTCGCTGATTTGTACTGAGCGTATCGCATGTTATACCTATATGCAGAATAGCGAATATATAAGTACAAATATTCAGGTTATGAATGTAATATGTGTTTGTACAATTATACCTGTATGCCAACGGATATTGCCCCTCTAAGTCACGGTGCATAAGTAAAGTGGGTCGTCCAATATGAATGCGCTCCCATGACCAAATCTGTATCAACATACAGCATCCCTTGAATTCTTTATTCTACATCAGAGATACTCTACTCAATTCTTGATACAAATATGCCAACACCACACTGCCCCACGATAGTGCGCCGCATACACCAAAATCCTCCAGCAGTGGCAGCCATCGTGCATGTACGAGAGTCTTGCTCGCATCAGGAAATAGTACGCACCCTATCATGTGCAATATGTATGCACGAGCATGAAACTGGAGTGTCTCATCAGAGGCATCCTCTGGTATGTCGCCCTGAAATGTCTGACGAAGCCACGATAGCTTCATCGCACCACTCCTCAAGTCAGAAACATGTCCAAGAAGCCGGGCACATACCTCCGACCAACTATGATCATCGGTGTCTGTAACTACCGGTCCATCGATCCGGAGCCCAAGTATGACGGCCACGTCCTGTAAAGTGATCGTGCACTCCCCTATATGCATGTGAAAGGTGTTGGTCTCTGGCCTCCACCTCTCAATCAAAGCAGTGATAATCGGCCAATCAAGCCTGATATAACGAATCGTCGAACACGGTCGAAAACCGGCCTGAGCGATCAAAGCTAGTACCCTCTCATCCTCAATAACCCAAGCCGAATGACTATAGGAATGCTCGATCATCGTGAACTCTGGTACGGGCTGCACATAAAACGAGAATCAGTTTTAAGTATATTCGTTAAAAAATTACATTAATCGAAGAAATATATATCTAATTTATCCGTATTACCTCTCCCGAACCAATATGGTCTGAACAATGACCCGCCTGAAGGTACAAAACGTCGGGATTCTCCGGTCCCGGATCCATAATGAATAGACCTGTGATTAAAATATGAGCATATATACAGAGTGCAATGAAGACAATACCATACATAACATATTACAAATAACGAGTATCATACGCTTCAAAGATAACAAATACGAATGACATACATGATCTGACATAGTGCAAAACGTTACATAATACAAATGCATGGGTGAAATGAACGCAGTATCATACAGAACATATTACAAATAACGAGTATCATACGCTTCAAAGATAACAACTACGAATGACATAGTGCAAAATGCTACATAATACAAATCAACGCCTAATACTAACTGGACACCTATTTCTGTTGTGACCCGGTTGATCACATCTACTGCACTTATTTCTCCTCCTAGCTCCTTCACGTCCGTCATCCATACTATTTCTAATACGCACGGAATGAGGGCGCCCCGCCGATCTTTTATACAATGGAGGTAATATCCGTGGCCCATCTTGTGTCCAATGTCGACTATCGTATGGTGGACGAAAACACTCTTTGTACGTTTGTTGATAGTTGTGATTGTGTCCAACATTCATCTTGTTGAGGAGATAAAAAACCTACAGAATCAACTTCAGGATCCTCTAACATGCGGGAATACATTCCTTCGTAGTTCAACGATTTGCCCAAATCTCTCTGATGTTTTTCAATGAACAATTCGACCGAACGCTTCTCGTCGTGTAAGACATGAATGAGACCCATATCGTAGTCACTTGATATTTGAATGCCACTTGTTCTGTTCTCCACAACAGGATAATTGCAAACCACACTGAGGTGATACTCACGTGAGTTAGTTAATGTAAGTTTGTGTAATTCATTAACCAACTCATCGAAAGTACACGATTTTGTTATGAACAACGGTCTCGTCGTGCCTCCTTCATAAACGAGCATATTATTTTCCAGGTAATTAATCTTCCCATCATAAGAACAGAGAATTACAATTCGATCGTTCATCGTAACATCTGAAGAGTGAAAAATTCAATATCAATATTGATAATTTTCACATTAATTGATAATTTCACCTCTAAATACACAAAATTATTTAATACATCTTCACAAAATTCGTAAATAATACACAAAATTATTTAATACATCTTCACAAAATTCGTAAATAATTCACAATTAAATTCTAAAATCTAAATACAATAATTTTCGAAAAAATTCGTAAATAATTCACAATTAAATTCTAAAATCTAAATACAATAATTTTCGAAATTATTGATAATTTTCCCTCTAATTTCACAAAATTATTGATAATTTCCCCTCTAATTTTCACATTTATTGATAATTTTCACACTAATTTTCACATTTATTGATAATTTCCCCTCTAATTTTCACATTTCTTCACAAAATTCGTAAATAATTCATAATTAAATTCTAAAATCTAGATTTTTACATATAATCACAATCAAATAGTGAGAGTAAACGATGGGTTAGGGTTTTGGGCTGTCAGGCTGGGCACGCGGGGTTATATAAGGGACTTAAAACTCCACGGGAGTTCAACTCCCGTGGAGTTACAGTCGAAAATTTCCAGAGAACCGATCTCTGAGAATTTTTGACTACAACTTCACGGGAGTTGAACTCCCGTAAAGTTGCAGTCAAAAATTCCCAGAGATCGGTTCTCTAGAAATTTTCGACTGTAACTCCACGGGAGTTGAACTCCCGTGGAGTTTTAAGCAGAAAATAAACTTCACGGGAGTTCAACTCCCGTGAAGTTTAATTTCTCGATAAACTTAACGGGAGTTGAACTCCCGTGATGTTTCGGAAACTTTTTTACAAAAACCGACCTGTTTTTAGCGCTGGGCTGAAAACAGGTCGGTTTTTGTAATTATTTTCAAAATAGGTCGTTTTTTGCAAATAAAATGCTAAAAGGGATGGTTTTGAAAATTTGTCCGGGATTAGTGCCATCCATAATAAGGTGTGGGGTAACCTCGTGGAAAGCAAAAAAAAACTTATGTACATACAAAAATTAAAACATACTATCATTTGCAAATAATATATAATAATTATAATATAAGATATACCAAATACAATATAATATTATAATACATTATATTAAAGGTTATTTGTATATATGACCCCCAAATCTTCCATATTCCTGTGTTTACCCCCCAAACACTAGTGGAAAATCATGTATCTCTGACGGGCATTCCCGTCAGCGATGCCCCAATTTCCGTCAGCGATAAGTATCACTGACGGCGTCCCGTCAAGGATACGCCGTCAGCGATAGTCCCGTCAGGGAAGAACTATCGCTGACGGGCGGCCGTCAACGATTACTTAAATCGCTGACAGGCGAGAGCGGTGACGCAAAGCCCGTCAGTGAATAGAGAAACATCGCTGACCGGGAATCCCGTCAGCGATGTTTCTCCTAATGCGCTGACGCGGGATCCCGTCAGGCGATACTTATCGTGACGAGGGGACCCGTAGCGTGTTTCTATATTGCTGAGCGGGGGAATCCCCGTCAGCGATAAGTATCGCTGACGGTGCACGTCAGTGATGTTTGTAATTATCGCTGACTGGCTTCCCGTCAGGCGATAAGTATCGCTGACGGTGGAACTCGTCAACTATGTTATGTACAACAGCTGAGGGCTTTCCGTCAGCGATAACTATCGCTGACGGAAGCCCGTTCAGCGATACAGTATCAGCAGGCTAAAAAAAATCTGGTGATATATACTCAGTTCCGCTGTACATATATATAGTTCCCTGTACATACAAATCTCCAACACATTTCACACGCATTCCAAAACATCTCACAATGAATACAATCCAAATTTCACAAACATCTCTCATTCAATCAATTTTCACAAATATTCGAAATATGTACATTCAATTTTCACAATAAGTTCTAAATCCATAAAAATTTCCACAACAAACCATACACGCATATCATAATCTCCAATATAAATATGTCCAATATACAAACACGAGTTTAGGATATAAGTCACTAAGATAGGTCGTCCGCCCTATCCGTGTCATCGTCCATGTTGCCACTAGCGGCTCCATCCCTACGACTCGTGCTCCCAATAGCATCATCTCCACTCTAACAACAAAATAATTTAAATTTAGAATCACATAATATTGTGTGTAATCATATTTTACATATATAATAAGTATACCTGTCTGCTACTCTCTCCACTACCAGTAAATGCCTTTTGAGTGGCCAAGAAGTTCATAATCTGGCTTTGCACCCGAGTAGGAACCCGCCTTCTACAAGATTTCATTATTTGCCTAGAAACCATCGCAAAAGTAGCAGTAGGCTGGATCACTCGCATAAGCTCCTCTTGAATATCCTCCCACATCTCCTCGGGAATCTGACCATCTAACATACTCATCACAGAGGAAACAAGCTGCATCGCCTGCTGAGTGCAATCCTCCTGCGGCATGTAAGAGGGCCCCGATGGCATAGTCGAGGGTGTGGAAATCGGCGGAGGCTGGAATTGTGTAGACACCCTCTGAGCTCCAACTCCCATCCACCTGGTCCTCCCCTTTTTGGGAAGACTACAAACTAAATGGCTCACATTATAATTCTGCTCTCTAGTCAGGGGCTCTTGGCTCTGTGTAACAACCTCAGAATACGTGTTTTCCAGAGCTTCCTAGAAGTCCAAAAAATAAATTTAAGAATACATTGCCACATGAATACATGATTTTAGAATGCACACACACTTACATACTTATACACATGTATATGTGTGTATATGTGTGTGTGTGTGATGTGTGCGCATGTATGCATATGTGTGTCAGTGTGTTTAATTCTTATAATAAACAGAGATTTCATATAGATGCATACATACACATCTACATGCATTCAAGAGTTGAAGCTATTATCTCTAATAAATAATTATATAGAACATATAATGATTACATGACTGCTACTTTTTTGGCCTATCATACAGTTTTAAGACTTTGCAAAAGGGACATGACTTTGCTCTTCAACTTGAGAAAATGCTTGACATTATCTAAACTTAGATTTATACAAATCAATATCTTATAGCAGTTTCTACTACATCCTCTAGTGCATAAATGAAAATAAACAGCTTTTTATATCCTAACAAGCAAGCCCCTCATACGAATCGGTCATAGTAACTCGGCTAATAAGATGACCAAAAGAAGAGTGCAAACAATAAATTCCCACATGATAACAGGCTAATAAGAGCTAAGATAATTAGTTAACCTGCATTTTCTTGGCCAATTCTAGCTTTTGTTTCTTAGTCTCATCCTCATCGTACCCCTTCTTAAATTGAATCATCGTTCTCCTGTGCAGTTCTGGTAGTGGGATAAAGGGAGCGTTCTGAGATTTAAAAATATATTTATTAGTTTTATTTATCAAATATTCTAAGAAGCGGAGAGAATATACATAGAAGATTAAAAGACTTTATACCGTTGTCCTACAAAATTGATCCTCAATCTGGGCAAATGAAGTAGTCCCCGTATGATGATCATAATCTTTTTTCCATCGATTAAGTTTATTTCTCCTACATTTTTCCTTCAACATGAACAAAGAGAATTTTAGTACATGTTATAATATACAATGGAATATATCACTAGTTTCAGATAAATAACTTGATGATAATTAACTACTATACATATTTACCTGGTGCTCCTCTTGGCCCCACAATATTATAAGTGCAGCTAAGTGCTCAGGCTCAACCCTCTTATCTCGCTTGTATATCCTCTCCCAGTTGTGAGTGAAATAAGCAAAGCATTTCTTCTTTATCTCATGTCTCCACTCCCGAAGAGAATGCTTGAACTTTCCCTGGTATCCAAATAAAAATTCCCACCCTACAGGATTGTCTTCGATGTTGAAATATCTCTAAAAAAATAAAATATAGTTAAGCATGGATAATTGATAGAATTGAAAAATAATTGTGCTAAATATAAGAATTTACCCAACAATCTCGGTATATACTCTCCAGGATATGAAATGGCTGCTCCCAAGCCTCGTAATAGGGATTCACATTATCACTCCTCCGTATCAAACATCCAAGGTATGAGCTGAAGTTATTAGCCCATTGTCCGGTTGGAATCCCATTATGTCCCCATCTCACAATTGCTCGGAAACCATCCGCCGGTAACTTTTTTTTAAAGTCACTTCCTTGGCGTCCTTTCTTCTGGTAAAGTTTTTCACCTACAAAAAAGAAATAATAGATATATCAACACTTTTATTTAATCAACACTTTTATTTAAGCTCTTAGAATTTACTAAAAAAGGAAGAAGAAAAATTCTGGAATTGATTAAGTTTTTGATCAAACTCACCAAATCTTTGTCTGATTTCATGTTTTGCATCAGATAGAATCTCATCAATCTGTGGGGCCCATTCATCCAATCTTTTTTTCGTAAGCATGTATTTTTCAGTCTGCTTGAGTCTATAGCCCTCTGCACATGCTGGTAAGGGCCCGCGCTCAATCCCAGGAATGTATGCTCGAAGTACAGCTGGAGGATCTGCATATAATGGTATGTGAGCCGGCTCTTCCTCACCCTCACCTATAAAAATAAAAGAAATAAATTATCATTGTGCATATATCATGAATAAAAATACGTAAGTTAAACCAAGTTATACCTGACATCTCTTCTGAACTCGAAGCCTCTTCCTCAGTGGATTGGTCTTGACTGGGGTTAGCTTCGAACAACCTCCTGTTAATATTTTTAGACATCTGCAAGTTGAATAAACATACAAATTAATATAACATAGATGCAAATTGTCTTGGCGAAAATAAAAACAATGTATTGTTGCGATACTAAATTTTTCATTTCACATCAAGTTTGTAGGCATTTGCAAGCTGAATATACAAAATAAGATATTACATATTTATATCGTCCAAAAGGTAATTGAGATACAATGTAGTGATATTAAATTTTTTATTATACAATTTGCAAACTAAAAAAAATTACATGAAGACCCGATTACAAATAATTGATGTTTAGCTCCTATTAATGTCTGTGATAATATTTGGAATGTCTGTCCGAGTTGTTGGAGCATCCGTTTCAAAACTACGTTTTGAGGGTACGAGAATTCATCGATCGCTGTATTTGGCTCATTGAAGTTGTTTATATAGCTCTCGTCATCATCTTCATTAGTGGAAGGTTGAATATAAGCCCTAGAATCCTTGTACAAGATAACCCACTCGTCTTTAACTGTAGGATCTTTCACATACAAACATTGTCCCACCTGAGATGCAAACATGAATTTTTCATCGCTATCAATTTCTTTATCGAGATTGACAATTGTAAATCCAAAGGGATCCTTTTGAGTCTTTGTAAAACACCAACGAATCATGAACATCATGTATTTATGTTCATTTGGACCACCATAGCCGTAGAATATCTCCACCACATCTTCCAACCTTCCATAATATGTCATATTATTTTCAACTGGATTCTGATCTCTTCTGTTTGAGAAACATTCCCGTGAGAAGATAGCCATGACACCACTATTCTGGGTGACCTTCGTATCATCAACCTCCATTGTGTGAAAGTTATAACCGTTAACACGATACCCACCATATTGAATTACAGCATAGTAAGGCCGCTTTGCGTGAACCTTCACTTCTTCTGATATTTGATTATTAAGAACAAGTTGTTCCTGGATCTAAATATACAAAAATAAGCAAACTATTAAATCAATAATTTGTAAGTGTTTTATAAATAAAATACAAATATTGCTAAATTTAACAATACTTACTTCACTATTCAACCAAGCAGGGAATTCTTTCATATGCCTTTCTTTAAGGTCATGTACAGCTGTACTACCGGTAACTTCATTCTTAAGTTTTTCCTGATGTTGCCTATTAATGTGCATAAATTTAATTTTTATTGTCAGCATAAATTTAATTATTATTGTCAAAATAAAAAATTTGTCAAAATAAAAATTAAAGAGTAAATGGTATGAGAAACTCTTTTTAGATATTTTACCTCCGGTACTCCGAGAAGATTTCAAGATTATTTACAACATATGCATGCGCTTGATCTAACAATATGTTAGAATAATTTTTGTTTAGCCCGCGAGGATAGAGAACTGTGTACTCCTTATTATCAACAGGTGCTTGAAGTTTAGTTTGTTCCCCTCTCATATAACGAGAGGCAAATAAGAGACACTCGCTTCTCACGTAACTTTCAGCTATTGAACCTTCTGGACGAGCTCTGTTACGCAATTGACGCTTCATTGAACCCAAATATCTAAAAAAGGAATATTAACCAGATATAGATGTAAAGAAATTTACATTTAATAGATATAAATATTGATAGGAAACGAATAAATTTTTCTAAATACTAACCTCTCTATTGGATACATCCAACGATAATGGACTGGTCCTGCTATTGCAGCCTCCTCCGCGAGATGATATGTAAGATGAACCATTATTGTGAAAAAAGATGGAGGAAAAAGCATCTCCATTTCACACATTGTTTCGGAAATATTTTCTCCAAGTTTCTCAAAGTCACGGGCGTCTATAACTTTAGAACAAAGCTTTCTGAAAAATCCACAAAAATCAATAATAACCTTCACTGTTTTTTTATTCTGCATAGTATTGCGTAGTGCCACATGTAGCAATTGATGAAGAAGCATGTGATAATCATGAGTTTTAAGCCCTAATATCTTCCTTTCTTGTACCTGGACATTGTTCGATATGTTTGCGGAATAACCCTCTGGTAACTTTATTGATTTGAGGACTTGACAAAATGTTTGCATCTCAACTTTCGACATTGTAATACGAGACGCAGGCAACTCTAATATGTTATTTCCGATAATTTTTGGCTGCAGTTCCTCTCTAATGTTCAATGCAGTTAGATCTTGACGAGCTCGTAGATCATCCTTTGATTTATTAGCATCTTGTAACAGTGTGGACAAAAGATTATCACAAATATTTTTTTCAATATGCATAACGTCCAAGTTGTGACGTATTTTTAGCTCTTTCCAATAGGGGAGTTGAAAAAAATGCTAAATTTGCATAACGTCCAAGTTGTGACGTATTTTTAGCTCTTTCCAATAGGGGAGTTGAAAAAAATGCTAAATTTTGTCCATCCTGAACGTAATTTTACGACTTCAGCCCCATCACTCACCACTTGTGCTTGTCTCTTTCGTTTTGGTATCCTTTTGTTAATACGCAAGTTCCTTACTCCAAGTAAATCTTCTTTCGAATAGCGCTTCTTTCCAAACTTGACGGCAGGGAACCTCTCAAGCAAATGTACAATCTGATCTCCACGTAATGGACGCGGAGCATCTCTCTTCTCAACAGTATCATCAAAAAACTTGCTCCATTTTTTTTGTTCTGTACCTGTGTTTTATGTTCAACCACCTTCTATTAAACTAATAACAAAACTTTCGACTGTGCTGCAGATAAAGACCTTTGAATTCTGGACCACACACTGGACATGTATATGTTCCCTTTGTAGACCAACCTGAAAGATTCGCGTAGGCTGGAAAATTATTAATTGTCCATAGTAAAATAGCACGTAGTCTGAAAGACTGCTTTGCATGAGTATCATATGTCATAACAAAATAGCACGTAGTCTGAAAGACTGCTTTGCATGAGTATCATATGTCATAACCCCTTCAGTCCAGAGTTGTTTTAACTCATCAATTAGCGGTTCTAAAAACACATCTATGTCATTGCCTGGTGCATGCTTGCCCGGTATCAATAATGAAAGTATCATATGCGGTTGTTTCATGCAAAGCCAAGGCGGTAAGTTGTAAGGTGTTAATAAAACTGGCCATGTAGACCAACCAGAACTCATTATCCCAAATGGATTGAATCCGTCGCTAGACAAACCTAGTCTAACATTCCTGCACTCATTTGCAAACGAAGGAAAAGTTCTATCCACATGCTTCCATGCCTCTGCATCAGCCGGATGTCTGATTTTACCATGCAAACGAAGGAAAAGTTCTATCCACATGCTTCCATGCCTCTGCATCAGCCGGATGTCTGATTTTACCATCATCAGTACGTTTATCCATGTGCCACCTCATTTGCTTAGCAGTGTCTTTATTCATATACAACTGTTTTAGCCTTGGTATTAAGGGAAAATGACGCATGACCTTTGCCGGAATCTTCTTTTGCTTAAACATAGACCTTACTGTCCCATGTGTTGAATAATTTTTGCGTTGTACCCATCGTGATACTCCTCAAATTGGACACTCCTGAAGATCTTTTTTATCTTTATAGTAGAGGATACAATCATTAGGGCATGCGTCGATTTTATTGTAATCAAGTCCTATAACGGAAACAATCTTCTTTGCGTTATCATAATTTTCTGGTATGCTCTCTTTTCCATTTGGAATGACTTTTCTCAGCAACACAAGCAACATATTAAAATATTTATCTGCCATTCCACTAAGAGACTTTATACGCAAAAGACGCAGCATAAATGATAACCTGGTGAACTCGGTGCAACCCTCGTACAGATCATTTTCATTGTCGCCTATTAATTTCATTATCTGTGCCAGCTCCTCATGATCAGTCACTCCTCCAGCATTTCCTGACTCGTCAGCATCCTCGACATAATCAAATTGATCTATATTAGGAACTGTTAACATATCTGCGAGCATCGTATGTGTATCATCTATTCTCGTATCATCTATTCCCCCACCGGAAGTACCAGTATCCGCCATCAGTTCTATTTCTTCAAGACATCCTTCCCCATGAAACGTCCAATCTTTTGGTAACTCCGTCATGAAATCCTGATATTAAGTGTTTCTGTAAATCACTTTTATCACCAAAACGCCCTATTTTTACAACCAACAGCAAGGACAATACACGACATCACTATTTAACGTCTCCGTGCGGTCTGCCAAGGCGTACTGTACTGAATTGATTTATTCAATCTTTATATCGCCTATCCCTCATCTATCATACGAGGATATCGATCCATGATTTGTCGAGAGATCCTCATAGATCTGTATGATATTAAGCATAATTAGGTAATGTGAATGTTTTATTAGTCAGCATCAAAATATAAAAGGTTGCGGTGATATTAACTGTTCTCAGCGGCCATCAAGCGAAATTTTAATTATAATTGCGGGAGGGAAAATTACCAAACATAAATTATTGTGGGAGTAAAATCTAATGCTCATATTTGAAATAAGACAAATTTAACGACTGTCATAGGAAATGGACCTAATCCGCATTGGAAATATAGTAGTGTCTACAACTACCTTTATATATTTAAGCGTTTTTATTTCTTAAAAATTTGCGGCAGCGACCTACCCGCAGTTCTCCGAGTACACTGTGCGGATGTTATAATGCGTATCAATCATCGATAATAGATGCGGATTATAATTCGATACGCAAACAACATACGCTTATTGTACAAGAGAACATGCGGTACATGTTATCAAAATTTTTAAGGAATAAAATGCGATAAAGTATACAAAATAGATTGATACAGCTACTGGTACTTCTAACTGTACGAGAAGGGGACTCCTCCGCGGACAGATCTATAATTATTGCATGTATATCATGCTCCTAACATAAATCACGTTAATTCTCTTTAGATGTAAAAAGTATTTTCACATCCAACTAGAATTACGTGAGTTTATATCAGAAGAGATTCACATCCAAACATTATTAAACGGGAAACTAGGGGTAACGACTTTCGATTCATAAAATCATGAATTATAAACAACAATAAATTTGTATTACCCCCAGAGAATAATTTAACCAAAGATAATAAAGACCAGAGAGTAAATTAGCAGCTAGTCAACTGTATCATATCAACACCCAGCAAGTCATAGAAAGAACATGTGTTTCGTTGTTTTTTCTGTTCAACTTCTTTCCATTTGTTGCAAACCTGGGGTATTCATCCGCAAAAAAATTAAATAATAAGATATGATGACTAAAGTGGGAAAATGTTTCTTAAAAGATAATGAAAAGTGTATGAGGTGTCACTTGATATATGAATTTTAAAGTAGGTAATTAAGTGATAAACTACATCATTTCCATTTCTTCACAGACCCTCACTTTGCTAAGAATTGTCAGCTCAAACCAATATCCCTTTCAAATTATATAAGATCCGGGATATAGATTTTAACGACTACCAAATGCACACAGAAATCTTATTAAATGTATTTCGTATTTATGTGAAGAAATGTAAATCTAACAATCCGTGTCATAGATATTCTTATGCCTAGTTCCTGCAACATTACATGTTTGTTCCCCACCAGAGATTAACCGTTAAAATCAAGAAAAGTCTAAATTCTTTGCTGAAATTGCGATAGGCTCGTCATAGTCTTTGTGATGCGACAAACAAACAGAGAAAAATTGCAGCACAGTTTAACAAAGATTACATGTTTCCCTCATAACCAGCTACTCGAAGTTGGTTGTCCATTGTACCTATATTTTCAACCGTATGGATCACTTCTTTCGGCTCCAAAACATGACGGTTGCATATTACAAACATACAACTAGACGAATACAAATACATCAACTAGCAGCAAATGCAACTTCCATGGACTTGTAGGACTTTGGGGAGTATTAAATTTATGAAAAACCAATAGTGGGTTAGTAAATACCAAAACCAGTCTATATCAAATGGAAGAAAACCACAACTACGATTGGAAAATTAGTTAGAATACTATTGTAAATGAATGAGACCCCTGCCTAATTCTGCTGTCCAAGTCCATAAGATCCTAATGGCTTTAAATAAGTTTGCATACATTAAAACCCCTCAATTAATATCCAATTTTCAACTGAAAAATCAAACAAAGGACCGAAAATTACCGTTTGGATCTCCTGCAGTCCAAGAAAACGTAAGACTGTCTTGGACCTCCTGCACTGCAATCCAAGAAATCAAATCTCAGATTAGAAAAAACAACAAAGCCTAAAATCACAACAAAAAAATTATAAAAAAGTTGAAAAAAAAAACAAGGAATCATACGCGACTCAAGAGAATATGACAGAGCTCAGACGACCCCTCTGTTCGAGTCAGCGCGGGGGTGGTGCAGTGGCGAGCTCCAAGGTCGAGCTTGGTTCCACGGCCGGTGGAGTCGAAGAGGGGAAGGGGAAGTTGATGGCTCGGGCAAGGCCAGCCGCGAGGGCTAGGAGATCGCCGGCGCCGAGTCTCTGAGCTGAGAGTGGGGAAGTCGTTCGCTGAGCTGAGCGGCGGCGATGAAAACTTAGGGCTTTTCTCCGATCAAAATTTCATCGCGAATTTATATAACTAACATCGCTGACGGGAAACCCGTCAGCGATGTTTTAACCCGTCAGCGATGTTTTCATCGCTGACGGGAGAGAAGAAATTCTGACGGCAATTTCGTTGACGGGATTTCCCGTCAGCGATATAAACAACGCTGACGGGAAATTCCCGTCAGCGATGTTGCCGTCAGCAATACTCCTATTTCCACTAGTGTAAATTAAAGAATGATATTCATGCACCTCATCTATATTATTGTTGGGTTTTTGTTAAAGCATTTCTTTAGTGGTTTAAGGAGCTGATTTTCCCCGGTCTGAAA